TGGAAAAATGCTATTCATCCCCACTGGGGATGCATCCCCAGTCTATGTGGATGTAAATGATTGGTTAAATGATAAATGAAATTAAATGACTTATTTGATTTCACCTATTATTTAATGCCACATTAACGCCACATGGACTGAGGATGCATCCACAGTGGGGATGAATAACATTTCTCAATCCCTTGTCTAGGATGTGCATAGTTTCCAAGAGTCAATATTTTATTTTGCTCTTGCCCCATTATGTTCATTTGTTGTTTGTTAGACATGTTGCATATTCTATGGGGTTGAATTTTTGTTATCATAATATAATAAGTCCACCTACTTTTTTGAAAATAATTTAGTTTGCCGTTGACAGCCATTTAAGAGCTTCCAAAATTACATTATTTATTATTTTATTAAATTGCTTAATTTCCAATGATAAAAAATTAATATCACTGACCTTAGAATGGACTTTTGTATATGGTCCTAAGTTCTATATCCACAATTCTCTATCGTGACAGAACTATTATGCTCACTTTCTTATAGTTCAACATTTTCTCTTAGTGTGAGATGACAGGAGTTGTTGTGGATGTTGGAGATGGGGCTACTCATGTTGTACCTGTTGCAGATGGTTACGTTATTGGGAGCAGCATTAAGTCGATTCCAGTTGCTGGAAAAGATGTTACTCGCTTCATTCAGCAGCTCATGCGAGTATGTTCTCTCAATATTTTGTATTTTATAAATATGTCCTTGTTGGAATGGGGAGAAAGGTGTTTGGTTGGGGGGTGAGGGGGAAGAATTTGATGCACATAATTTATGTAGCTCCTACTTGTTGAAGAAATTTTCTATACAATGTCAGAGAAGAGGAACTGTTCTTCATTTTTGAGCCTTGCATTCTTTATTTCCACCTATCTGTACTTTGCATGGATCTATACCATATCACCTCACATGTTTCAGAACAATGACCTTCACTTTCTGCTCCAGTTTCAAGTTTAATCTAATATTTGAATTTGAATATGAATGTTGGAAATTAAAGTAATGAGGTTTCTGCTGCATCATTATCAACAACTTTTTGCACGCGAGTACTCTAATCTGGTGACGTGAAATAACTTCACAAGAGCAATTTGAATGGTGTGTTCTTTCTTATTTTATTGAGGAGACCTTTCCATGACTTGGAACTAATCCAGCCTTTAGTATGGATTAAAATCAGATTTTTATCAGATAAAAATTGATGAAATGTGTGGTTGAAAAGTTGTGGGATCCATGAGATATGTGGTTATAATTAATTGTTGACATTGACTTAAATTAAAAATCTGAATTTTAATCCATATCAAACAGGGGCCTAAATTAAAAACCTGATGACATTTCTTATGGACTTCTGAAGTTCATCTTCCCTTTGCTTGAAAACACACTTCGACGACTGGTATCTATGGAAACATCTGTAGGAACAAGATGGTTTTCCTGATTTGATACGGTAGTAGTCAAACTTTTGAAGAAAGGGTTTTTTTTTTGGATTATGGTAGAAACTGTAGTGATCCTATATTTCCTATTTTTCCCATTCTTACTGTTCACATATTGTTCCACATAGGAAAGAGGAGAACATGTTCCACCTGAGGAGTCGTTGGAAGTAGCCCGAAAAGTGAAGGAAATGTATTGCTATACTTGCTCTGATATTGT